TGTGAGTGTACCGTCAAATCAGATCTGACTGGTACAGGACGAGATTGTTCCTCCTTCCCTTGGCAGAGCATCTGGTGGGTTCAAACCATGTGCCTTTGGGATTGTAGTTGCAGCTCCTTGCCACTAGGCCGCCAGAGCTCCCCAAGTGTGTTTTTGTTTTTGTTTTTTTTTTAAAGATTTGTTTGTTTGTTTGTTTTATTATTATTTTGTGTGTCTGTGTACCGTCAAATCAGATCTGACTGGTATAGGAGGAGATTGTCCCTCCTTTCCCGGCAGAGCATCTGGTGGACAAGTGTGTGCTTTTAAAGTAACCAAGAGTTATAGTTTTGAGAAGGCTGGGAGCAAGGGCTGAGGTAATTCTGACAGTTAATTGTGAGAATTACAAACAGAGAATCATATGTAATGTATACTAAATCAGTCTAAGTTTGACAACCACCCTCTATATTGTTCTGTGCAGAAGTGTTAATATCTTGGGCTCATGCCTGGGTCACACTTTCCTATTTTTCATCATCTACCATGTAGACCAATTATCTGTTCAGAATTAGTAATATATGCTACTGCCAGTTTCTAATGTTGTCCATGGTCCCTTCAGTTAACTCTAAAGCTTAATTCTTTGTTCCAAAAGCAGCTCTCTTCCTCAAGAACAGAAGCCTTTTGAAAGTAAAACTAAACCTTTTGTGAGAAGTCGATTCAAAAAACCAAAGCCGAATTTATCAAGAGCAACTCTAAAGAGAGAAATTACAGAAGCAGAAAGATGTGTGCCTGGGAAGAAATCAGAAACTGAGAAATCAGAAATGGAGACTATTGTAATACAACAGAAGAATAAACAAACTAATGACCAACCTCAAGATGTGAGTGATCCTTAAAGGGGAGTGTTTTTTTAATTGTGTTTTATTATTATAATCCTGTGCAATACTCTGGATGGTGCAAATAGTTAACGCTGTCTGTGGTAACCAAAAGATTGGTGGTTTAAGTTTACCCAGAGGTCCTTGGAAGAAAGGCCTATTTTTGTAGAATCGACCCCTGGGAACCCCATGGGGCACAGTTCTACTCTGACACACGCGGGATCACTGTGAGTTCAAAATGGCTTAACGTCAAATGCTAGTGTTACTAAAGTGAAAGACACAGAATTAAAATTTCACAAATATTTCTTATTTTTCCTGTGTAGTAGTATTCCTCTGCTTACCCTCATTATTTCACATACCTTGTGTGAGAATTTCAGATATCTGATGATGGATGAACAAGTGTCAAGTGAATGTATTTCTAGTTCAGGTTCTGACTTTTATTCACTGCAGCCATAAGCAAATTTTTAATAAGTTTCTTTATAGCAAGAATTAGTGTAATAATTCCTTATTTTATTACTGTTAATAAAGATACTATTAATATTAAAAACTTGAAATGTATTAGAGAAGATTATTTTACATCACTGACTCATTCCATAATTAAGATTGTGTCTGAAACTTTGAAATATTATTTGACATCCTGAACTGGCTAAACCATTTGCTGTACAGAAGTAACTTATGATTGCTATAATGCTTTACACTGTCACACTGATCTGTCAGATGCGATAATGGTTACCCATGGTGGACAGTGTTTGGTGGAGCTCCCCGATTCAGACAAGCTTGGAAGCAGGAATGGCACCCACTTCCAGAATAGCTTGCCTCTGGAAACTCTGTGAGCTTAGAGAAATGACGAAAGTTAAACAGGTGTTCAGGTCTTTCGTTAATAGGGTTGCCATGAGTCGCCTGCTATTCGACAACACTTCATAACCACCACCACCACCACCATCACAACCTATCTTAGTTCTTTACTGTATACCAATATTTGCATTTATTCATTTCATCTTATAATAGGGAACTCATTTATCTTATCAGTTCTTTTTTCTGGTTATGAAAGTTTCAAGTTGGAAAGATGCACATAGTTTATAATTTGAGAGGTTATAATTTGAGAGTCTTTTATGATGTTCCCTCCCAAGTTAATCATATAGAAGTTTTGAGTATATTCCTCTTTGCTTTTCTCTCTAGATGTATTAATAATGTATACATATATTTCTGTTTTTTTTTTTAAATAGCATAAAAGTTCACCTTTTCATTTTTCTACTTGATAAGACATTGTGAACTTCTTTTTGGAACATATATGGACATTTAGCGTATTTTAAATGGCTCCGTAGCTCTTCTCTGCTGACGTGGTCCATAGGCAGTTGCACTGCTAACCCAAAGGCTATACCTCTTTGGAGGTTCAAATCCATCACAAGGTGAAGATGGGCAGTCACTTCTGTGTGATTTGTTCTGGTTGTTACGTGCTGTTGAGTCAGAACTGACCCTCTGAGTGAGGTTTCAGAGGCTGTAAATTACATGGAAAGAGATTATCTTTCTCCCTCAAAGCAACTGGTAGATTCAAACAATATGTTTTTGAGTTGGTGGTGCAACTCGTACTGCTAGGCCACCAGAGCTCCTGCTGTGTGATTTATAGCCTCTTAAATCCAATGGAGGATCAGCTATGAGTCAATTCTGACTAGTCAGCAATGAATTTGTTTTTTGCATTGCAAAGATTTTTTTCTATAATTATATTTTATTAATTTTCATAAACATTTACAGAGATTTTGGGCTTCCACTCATTCATTGTTGCACTATTCTCTCTACCCTCCTCCCAGTTTGTTCTTGTCCAAATGCCACAGTGCTTGTCAAAGCCAGTTCTGATTAATCTTCTTTGTCAGTGTGTCCTTTGCCATTCCCTATCACTCCTCCCTGAGAGAGAATTCACCCTGAGTCATAAGGAAAAGGGGACGGCGTATTCTCTTAGCTACTTCCTGCTGAAAAGGGACGCTGTGGGTTTCAGGGTGAAGATCTTCTCTCACTACTCTAAAGGGCCCCTTTGGCAGTAGGAAACACATAGACTATTATGGAGATTGATTTTGGAATTTAGATGCACTCTTATTGATTGTGCTTGGCCGTACATGTTCATATCCTTGAAGATGTATCATGGGGGTGTTGCAACCTAGAAGACACAAATTTGACTAACAAGTTATAAGTACATGAGTCCAAAAATTATGGAAAAGTAAAAGAAAAGATTCTTTCATTGTTTTGCAAACCCTCCCCCAGGTCCCCTCCACCATGTAGCCCTCGCTCTAGTCTCCTGTGATGACAGAAATACCCAGTTATATCTCTCTTTTAAACGGTTCTCTCCCTCCTCTGTTTCAGTGCAGTATACATTATTGAACCCATCTTACTCAGTCTCTCCCCAAGCCCAAGGACAGTCCCATTCTACAACAGTGGCATCATGTAATATTTGTCCTTTTGTGACTGGGATATTTCACTCAGCATAATGTTCTCCAGAGTCAACCATTTTGAATAATATTGCATGAGTTCCTTGTTTTTTAATGCAGCATAGTATTCCATTGTGCGAATATACCACAGCTTCTCTAGCCATTCGTTTGTTGATGGGCACTTAGGTTGTTTCCAACTCCTTGCTATTGTGAACAAAGCTGCAATAAACATGGGTGTGCATATATCTGCTTGGATGTCAGCTATGGTCTCTTCAGGGTACATTCCCAGTAGTGGAATTGCTGGGTCAAATGGTATCTCTATTTGCATTGCAAAGATTTTTAGAATGTGTTTAATCAATGCTACATTGAATACTTTTCTTGATCATAGTACTTTGTTTTTTGTTTATTTTCTTTTGTTGTTTTACAATGATAAATTTACTTGTATATACAATTCTAGATAATTGTTGGAATATTTTTATAGCATAAATTTTTATAAATGCTCTTAGAATTTAAAACTTTTATAAATAGTTGTCTGATTGCTATCTATTAAGATTGTACTAATTTATTTCTTTGCTTATAGGATATGGAAGTTTCTGTGTCTGTCTTTACCAACCCTGTATGACACTTAAAAGGAACAATTCTCTTTCTTCTAGGATATGGTTTCCCTAATGACACCAAGGGAAAAAAGTGAATCAGATCACAAGGAAGAAAAGGCTGTGATAATACCATGTGTACAGACTGAAGAGAACCTTTCACATTCACATTCTGTTGGGCCACCGGAGCAGTCTCAGACTACAGAAGCCCAGGAAAATGACTTAGTAGCTTCTATAGGGTAAACATTGATATTTTAAAAAATTATCTTATGAGGACACTTTTTAGCATATTTTTTCATTTTAATTCGGATTACTTTTAAAGTGTATTCTTTTAAGTGAATATAGAGTATTATTGTTGTTAATTGCCTTTGAGTCAATCTTGACTCCTGGCAGCCCTGTGGGTTACTGAGTAGCACTGCTGCATACTATATTTATAATCAGCAGGCAATTTAATCTACTTTTTCTTTAATAGTACAGGAATATTTTTAAAGAGAGATTGTAAGAGAATCAGATATTATACTTTTACATTAGTTTTTAGCCCTTTAAAAGTCAAGCTTCCTCCTTTTTTTTTCTGCCTGATTTTCTAGTGCTTGTAATATAAACAGTTTACAAGAAATAAAACAAAGTGAGGTCCAAACTACTCAACCAGTGCGACGCCGACTTCTGAGACCAAAACCAAACATAAGAAGGATTGAACAGAGGCAAATATCTGAAAAAGGTCAAGGTAAAGACATAACTAAGGAAGAAAAGCCAGTGTTAGAAAAAGATGAGACTAAACAGTTGCCTCCTATGGTGAGTTATTGTTACATGATTAAAGTAGAAATAGACATTTTTTCTTAACTAATGAATATTTATTATAAAAATGCTCAATCAGTATAAAATAATGCGAAATAATACTAAGTGCCCCTAATTTCACCATTCTGAGATTACTGCTGAAAACCTTATCATATATCTTACTAGATTTATTTTGTTCATGACTAGTTTTGTAAGTTTAAATAATAAATTCATTTTACACTTGTTATTTGGTAGTTTCTTTTATTGACTATGTTAAGTGGCTTTCTGTGTCAAGAAATACAGAAGCACGTATTTTTTAGTTGATGCTTAGTAATACCACTTTTTGAACTGTCATTAACTGGTCTTTTTTTTAGAGAGACTGATATCAATTAAAAAAGAAATAATTATTCTTTTTTTAAAAATAAATATTGTTAAAAAAAGAAATGGGTGCACACTCATGTTTATTGCAGCTTGGTTCATACTAGCAAGGAGCTGGAAACAACCTAAGTGCCCATCAACAAACGAATGGATAGAGAAGCTGTGGTATATTCACACAGTGGAATACTACGCTGCATTGAAAAACAATAAACTCATGAAATATTATCCAAAATGGATGACACTGGAAGACATTATGCTGAATGAAATATCACAGTCAAAAGGACAAATACTGCATAGTGTCCCTGTTGCAAAACAGGACTGACATCAGGCTTGGGGGGGAGACTGAGAAAGATGGGTGAAATAATGTATACTGCATTGAAACAGATGAGGGAGAAAACTGTTTAAAAGGGATATGTGATTAGGTATTATTGTCATGACATGAGTCCAGAACGAAGGCTGCATAGTGGAGTGGACCTGGGGACAGGGATTGTAAAACAATGAAAGAATTTTTCTTTTACTTTTCAAAGAGAAGAGGGTACGGGGTCTGGGGGAAGGATTGGGAGGGTAGAAAAGTGCAACAATGAATGAATGGAGATCCAAAGTTTCTGTAAATTTTCATTAAAATTGATAATAATAAAATAGAAATGGAACACATTTGACACTCTAGGGATTGGTGAGCTGAGAAACACTGATATGGGTACATCAAATTTGATAATCATGTGATCTGCTATGCCAGGATTGAAACAGGAAGAACAGGTTCCCATTTATTGTCAAAAAGACCATTTTAGATCCATCCTGAAGTACAGTACTTTGAGTGACAGGATATTATCCATACATACACATACAAGGAAGACCTTTTAATATCACTACCCTTCAGCTATTTGCACTACCAACTATAAAGGCAAATGGGAGGAAATAGAAGATTTCTACCAACTTTTACAGTCTGAAATTGGTTGAACATGCAACCAAGATTCATTAATAGTAATAATTGACTGGAGTGCAACAATTGGAAATAAAGAAGTACCAGTAGTAAAAAAATACAGCCTTAGTAATGGAAATGAGACTAGAGAGAGAATGTTGTACAATCAACGAGTTATTCATTGCAAATACCTTTTATAAGAAAACACAAATGGCAGTTATACGCATGGATCTCACCTGAAGGACTACACAGAAATTAGATTGATTACATCTGTGGAAAGAATCGTTGGTGAAGCTCATTATCAGCTATAAAAATCAGGACAGTTGCTGACTGTGGAACAGACTCTCAGCTACTCATGTGCAAGTTCAAATTGACACTGAATAAAATTAGAACAAATAAAAAAAACCCACCAAAATAAGACCTTGAGTCTATCTCACCTGAATTTAAAAATCACAAGGGCAAGTTTGAGACATTGAACACTAATGAACAAAGAGCTGAGGAATGCTAATCAGCAGTGACATCCATGAAGAAAACAAGATCGTTACAAAAAGTAGAGGAGAAAAGACCAGGATGGATGTCAGAAGAGACTCTAAATATTGCACTAGAATAGTGAGAAGTCAAAAACAAAGGAAGAAATGAAAAGTTAAAGACTTGATCAGAACATTTCAAAGGGGAGCTTACGAAGACAAAGCAAAGTATTATAATGAAAAGTTCAAAGAGCTAGAATCATGAAGTCCAAAGGGAAGAACTCATATGGTATTTATCAAGCTAAAGGAATTATAGAACAAATTTAAACTATGATATACAATCCTTAAAGATGTTATGGGCAATATATTTAATGATCCAGGAAGCATCAAAAGAAAATGGGAGGACTTAACAGTCACTGTACCAAAAAGAATTGGTACCTTTTCAGGAAATAACATATGATCAGTAACTAATGGTGATGAAAGAGGAAGTTCAAGCTGCTCTGAAGAAATTGACCAAAAAAACGGTGACATATTTCAGCAAAAGAATGAAACCCTGGATGTGCTCACCAGATTGTGCTAAGAAATCTGGAAGACAGCTACCTGGTCAACTCACTGGAGGAGAGCTATGTATTCACTCCCATCAAAAAAGATGAACAAAATGGAAATTAGTGAACAACAAACAATGTATGAGCAAGATCCTGTGATAATGAAGGAAGACGTTCAAGCTGCTCTGAAAGAACTGGGAAAAACAAGACCCCAGGAATTGACGGCATACCAATTGACATATTTCAACAAACAAGACGCTGCTCTGGATGCACTCACCAAATTATGCCAAGAAATCTGGAGGACAACTACCTGGCCAACTGACTGGAAGAGATCTATATTCCCAAAAAAAGGTTACCCAAGAGTGCGGAAATTACCAAACGATATCATTAATATCACATGAGAGCAAGAGTCTGTTGAAAATTATCCAAAAAATGACTGGAACAGCACATTCACAGAAAACTGTCAGATCTAAAGTCTGGATTTAGAAGAGGCTGTGTTACTAGGATGTTATAACAAATGTTAGATAGATTTTGGCTGAAAGCAGAGAGTACCAGAGAAATGTCTATCTTTGTTTCATTGCCTATACAAAGGTGTTTGACTCTGTGGATCACAACAAACTGTCGCTAATGTAGAGAAGCATGAGGATCCCCAAACACCTGATTAGACTTATATAAAGTCTATACCAAGCCCGGGAAGCTGGGTGTCGGAACACTGCATGGTTCAAAATCAAGAAGGCAGTGCATCAGGCATCTCTGTGCCTTTTCCGTATGTCTATATGTGAATGATTCATGAGGTTGCAGTGAAGGAGAATGAAAGAAGAACAGCTTTATGAAGAAGAAAGTGGCATCAGGATTGGAGGAAGACTCATCAACAACCTACATTCTGCAGATGATATGACCTTGCTCACGGAAACTTAGGAGGATTGAAGAAAGTCAGAGATAGGCAACCTTTAATATTAGTTGCATCTCAATATCAAGGAAACAAAGATTTTCACCACCACAGTAATTGACCACATTGTGATAGATGGAGAAAGGATTGAAGTTGTTAATAATGTAATCTTTTTTATTTATTTATTTTATTATTTTTGTGTGTGTACCATCAAATCAGATCTGACTGGTACAGGAGGAGATTGTTCCTCCTCCAGCAGAGCATCTGCTGGATTCGAACCATGCACCTCTGGGCTTGCTGTGCAGCTTTTTGCCACTGGGCCATCAGAGCTTGCCAGTAATTTAATATTTTTTTTTTAAATATTAGTTTTAGTAAAAATTTATAGACTTTGGATTTCCATTCATTCATTGTTGCACTTTTCTCCCCTCCCAACCCTCCCCTCTAGTACACTACCATCTTGTAAAAGTAAAATAAAAATTCTTTTATTGTTTTACAAACCCTCCCCCAGGTCCACTCTACTATGCAGCCTTCACTCTGGACTCCTGTCATGACAAAAATACCTAACCACATATCCCTTTTAAACAGTTTTCTCCCGCATCTGTTGCAATGCAGTCTACATTATTTATCCTGTCTTTCTGAGTCTTCCCCGAACCCCGATGTCAGTCCTGTTTTACAACAGTGGCACCATGCAGTATTTGTCCTTTTGTGACTGAGATACTTCACTCAGCATAATGTCCTCCAGGGTCACCCATTTTGAATAATATTTCATGAGTTCCTTGTTTTTCGACGCAGTGTAGTATTCCGTTGTGTGAATATACCACAGCTTCTCTATACATTCGTTTGTTGATGGGCACTTAGGTTGTTTCCAACTCCTTGCTATTGTGAACAAAGCCGCGATAAACATGGGTGTGCATATATCTACGTGGATGTCAGGTATGGTCTCTGGGGTATTTTCCCAGTAGTGGAATTGCTGGGTCGAATATTATCTCTATTTGCAACTTTTTGAGAAAGCGCCATACCACCTTACACAGTGGTTGCTCCATTTTACACTCCCACCAACAGTGAATAAGGGTTCCAGTTTCTCCACAACCTCACCAGCATTTGTTGTTTGCTGTTCTGTTAAATTTTGCAATTCTGACTGGGGTAAGATGATATCTCATAGCTGTTTTGATTTGCATCTCTCTTAGAGCTAGGGATTTTGAACATTTCCTCATGTGCTTGTTAGCCATCTGAATGTCTTCTTTGGTTAAGTGTCTGTTCATATCCTGTGCCCATTTTTCTATTGGATTATTATCTTTATCTTGTTCAAGTATTTTATAAATTCTGGATATAAGTCCCTTATCTGATACGTCATTACCAAATACTTTTTCCCAGTGTGTTGCTTCCCTTTTTTACCCTGTTGGGGAAGTTTTTGGATGTGCGTAGGGATTTGATTCTTAGAAGACTCCATTCTTCTGTTTTATCTTCTCCTGGTTGTAGGTTTTTCAGGATACTTGGAAGACTGTTTATGTTGTGGATTAGAACTTCTAGCGTTGTTCCTAGCTTTTCTTTAATGAAGTTTATAGTCCTTGGTTTTAGTCCTAGGTCCATGATCCACCTTGAGTTGGTAATAATTTAATCTTATTTAGATCCACAATCAACACTTCTGGCATCAGCACTTAAGAAATACAAAAAGTGAGTTGCTTTGGGAAAATCTACTGTCAAGGATCTCTTCAAGAGTGCTAATGTGCAATGATGTCATTTTAGAAAGGCTAAGTGTGCTTGATCCAGGCTTTGGTCTTCTAAGTTGTTTGCTATGCATCTGGGAGCTGGATGATGACTAAGGATGACAGAAGAATTGATGCCTTTGGGTTGTGGTGTTGGAGAACAATATGTAACATACCATGTGCTGCCAAGGGAACAAATTAGGTCATTCCTAGAAAGGATAAAACCAGTTTGTTCCTTTGTGGTAAGGATTTTTTAAGTTCTTTCTCATATTGCATGCTGCCAGGAGGGATCAGAGTCCTTGGAGAAGGACATCATGCTTGGAAGGGTAGAGGGTCAGTGCAGGTCAGAAGGGCCCTGAATAGAATGGATTTACACAGTGACTGTGGCAGTGATGTCAGGTGTGTCTGAGACAGGTTGGCTCACGACAAGGCAAGGTTCAGCGCTATTGTTCATAGGGTTGATGTGAGTCGTAGTCAATGCAGTGGCACATAACAACATTAATTAGAAAATCTTAAGTTTTTTTTTTCTAAAAACGCCCACTTGAACTACTTTTTTTTCAGTTATTACGTTTCTAAGGGAAAACAGATGGATTAAAATGGTTATAATCTGTATGTCAACAGAAAAAAAAAGACTTTAAAAACTAAGTGTGCACTTTTCTTTGTTTCCTTACAGATTGCTGCTATTGTTTTAAAAAATATTTTGTAGACATACTAATTGTATCATTCTTGAAACTCTCCTTGAACTACACAGTATTTTGGGGGCAACAAACTAGGAACATTGCATACTCAATCTGAGTCTTATTAAATACCTTTTTTCCTGAATAAAATATTTTAGGAGCTATGTTCCTCAATAAAAACCAAACTAAAACTATTATTTATTATTATTTTCAGCCAGATTTTCAAATTGGAACTGAAATTGACGTTGTGTCCTCCAAGGTTTCTGAGTGTAGCATCAATGAAAGCCAGAGTCTTGTAGTTCTTGGAGAAAGCCTTCATGTAAACAAAGATAATGCTTCAAATGAAAACCCAAGGTGAGTTTGTTTTTAGTCAGTAAAGCAAAAAACTTGCCCAGGATTAAAGCTGGATTTTTAAATAATCACTTTTAAATCATACTTTGGAAATTTTTGTCAAAGGATGAAGTGATATTTATAAAGTGTTCTATAACAATTGTATAGTATGACTAATAGTCTCTTAATTTGTAATTTCTCCAAAAAATCTTCATTTTTCTGTCTTAAAACTTTTAGTTGTTGTCAGAGACGTTCTTAAGTTTTTTGCATTTTGTTTGGGTAATGTGTAACCTGCTGATTGAAGTTCGTAAATAAGAAATTTTATAATAATCCTACAACTAGAAGTAACTATGTCTGAAGTTAAAGTCAGTGAAAGCAGTCAGTATGCTCAGTTGCCAAAAAAGAAGTTAGCAGTTTGCATTTACCCAGAGGTTCATAGGCAGCTGACCTGGCATTCTACTTCTTTTCTTTTTTGTAATTTTTTAAATTTTAATAATTATAATGAACATTTATAGAGATTTTGGATTTCCATTCATTCATTGCTGCACTTCTCTCCCCGCCCAGGCCCCCAGTTTGCCCCTCTATTTGAAAAGTAAAAGAAAAACTCCCTGGTACACAATCCCCCCCACACCAGTAGCCAGGAAATTAAAAGGCGCATTGCCATGGGAAAGTCTGCTGTTAGGGACCTCTCCAAAGTACTGAAGAGCAATGGTGTCTCTCTGGAGACTAAGGTGCATTTGATACAGGCCATGGTCTTCGCAGTCACTTGTTATGCATCAGAGGAGTTGGACAATGACCAAAGAGGATAGAAGGAGAATTGATGCCTTAGAGCTGTGGTGCTGGAGAAGAGTATTGAGAATACCATGGACTGCTAGGAAAACAAACAGATTTGTCCTAGAAAGGGTTACACCGTCTAACATACTTTGGACATGTTGTGAGGAGAGACCGGTACAAAATTTAACAGAATCTCATTGTCTCAGATTTTCCTCCCTATTCCTCCAGTTTGCTTTTCTCTGTAAAAAGATTCTTTCTTTGTTGCACAAGACATGTGTGATTTGTTTTTTTTACATTTTTAAAAATTTATTATTAATTTCAATGAAAATTTACAGAGACTGGATTTTCATTCATTCATTGTTGCACTTTTCGCCCCTCCCAACCCTCCCACCTAGTACACTACCCTCTTGGAAAAATAAAACAAAAAATCTTTCATTGTTTTACAAGTCCTCGCTCCAGTTCCACTTCACTATTCAGCTGTTGCTCTGGATTCCTGTCATGACCAAAATCCCTAATAATTTTCCCTCTTAAACAGTTTTCTCCCTCATCTGTTTCAATGCAGTATACATTGTTGAACCCATCCTTCTCGGTCTCCTCCCAACCCCGAAGTCAGTCCTTTTTTAAACAGTGACACCATGCAGCATTTGTCCTTTTGTGACTGAGATACTTAACTCAGCATAATGTCCTCCAGGGTCACCCAGTTTGAATAATATTTCATGAGTTCTTTGTTTTTCAATGCAACGTAGTATTCCATTGTGTGAATACACCACAGCTTCTCTGTCAGTTCATTTGTTGACGGGCACTTAGGTTGTTTCCAACTCCTTGCTATTGTGAACAAAGACGCAATAAACATGGGTGTGCATATATCTGCTTGGATGTCAGTTATGGTGTCTTTGGGGTATATTCCCAGTAGTGGAATTGCTGGGTCAAATGGTACTTTTTGAGAAAGCGCCATACTGCCTTCCACAGTGGTTGCACCATTTTACACTCCCACCAACAGTGAATAAGGGTTCCAGTTTCTCCAGAACCTCGCCAGCATTTGTTGCTTGCTGTTCTGTTAAATTTTGCAGTTCTGACTGGGGTAAGATGATATTTCATAGGCGTTTTGATTTGCATTTTTCTAGAGCTAGAGATTTTGAACATTTCTTCATGTGCTTGTTAACCATCTGAATGTCTTCTTTGGTGATGTGTCTGTTCATATCCTGTGCCCATTTTCCTATTGGAGTATTTACCTTTATCTTGTTGTGGTGCTCAAGTATTTTATAAGTTCTGGATATAAGTCCCTTACCTGATATGTCATTACCAAATACTTTTTTCCCAGTCTGTGGCTTCCCTTTTTACTCTGTTGGAGAAGTTTTTGGTTGTGCATAGGGATTTGATTCTTAAAAGATTCCATTCATCTATTTTATCTTCTCCTGGTTGTAGGTGCCATGTGTGATTTTATAGCCAACTTTTTTAATCCTTTGAACACAGAATAATTTTATGGCCAAAATGGTTTATTTAATTTTGTAATTTTGAGTTTTGCTCTTCTGTGTGATTTGTATTTAATTCCAGAGAGGACCACAAACCTTACACTCCTAGTCCAGCGCCATTGGTGAGACGGTCATTCAAGAGGGCCAGGCCAAATCTGGAAAGGGCCCACACTAAGAGAAAGAAACCAGGAACAGAGAAAGATGTGGCAGCTCAGAATGAGGCAATAAAGCCTGAAAAGAATTTGTTGCAGGAAGAAAATTCTGATGACCAGTTAATTCTCAAAGTAAGTTGATAAAATTTTCATGGAAATTTTCATATCTTTCTGATACAAGTATGTATTGATTACATGTACATTTTGTGCAATGTAGGTAGGATTTTGTATGATTTGGATATTGAGTAAATAACCATATTAAGACCTTTTCAGGGCCTCCTTCTGTTTGTCCTCATTGCTTCTTGCTGTTGCTGGCACAAGCTGGAAGATTTGGCAGCAGCCAGGGCTGTGGCAGCAGCAAGACAGCAAGAATTGAGCAGGGAGGGAGTGGAGCGTGCCCTCCACCTGCTGCAGCTGCTGCTGCCAGCCTGCAGGACAAAGCTTGTGCATAGAGCCATGTCCTCTGCCTCACCTATTTAATCCAGTCTGTGACTCTGTGTGTCAAGAGTTTGGATTCAGTGCTCGCTTCGGCAGCACATATACTAAAATTGGAACGATACAGAGAAGATTAGCATGGCCCCTGCGCAAGGATGACACGCAAATTCGTGAAGTGTTCCATATTTAAAAAAAAAAAAAAGAGTTTGGATTCAGGGCCATTAAAGCCGTGAGGGTAAAATAATTAACAAAAGGGAGAGCAACTTCCGTGTGTGTGTGTGTGTTTTAAAGTATTTTATGGGATCTTGGATTTTGGGAAGAATATGTTAAGCTATGCTTGTCTATATTATTAAAATTTAGAACCTCAGTTGTGTATGATTTAAAAGTTAAGGCCAAATTTATTTCCAAGATAACATGAACTTATTTCTTCTTAAATTTAAGGAAAAGACTGAACTTCTGACGTCTCTGGAAATTTCAGCAAGAAAAGATTATGTAGTTCCTAAAGAGACTGTTTTAGCCAAAAAAGATTCACACTCTGAAGAATGTAGAGCATTGGGAAGTACTGAAAAGGAAACCATAGGCGATAATTCTAGGTCTTCAGGAGTTGAAGAACAGTGTATCAGTAAGCCACCAAGGTAAAGTTTTATTCAACAAGTGCTTTCAGAAGTCACTTACTCCTTATCATTGTCTTATTTCATCTTCCTATGCAGCAAAAACATAACTTGGACCTGGAAATCGTTTGTTATTGACAGATCTGTTTCTTTTCCACTTTTGATTACTATCTCCTGAAGCTATTTTTTCCCCCCAGTTAGAAAATTTCTTTTCTAACTTGAAAATTCTAAGTGTACTAGACATTTTGGGTATGCTAGTTTTAGAAGAAGACTAATTAAAAAAGTAATTATCAAGTAATTAGTGTACTAATTCACATGGCATAGCACACACACATGAAAGGTATTCCTCTTCCATAATTTTCAAATAAAGTAGAAAGGAACCAAAGTTCCAAAAATAGCATTGATTGGAAGGAATTTTCTGTCCTCTCTTTTTTTCCATCTGACATCAATAATGATGGCGCAGCCTCTTGTTAATCTACTTTGAACTCCTGGCAGTACTCTCTGTCTGTGTTCAATTCTCTCCTTTTTTGAAGGCTCTTAAGCAGCATTTTTTAATTCAGACCATGGTCTTTTCAGTTACTTGCTATGCTGCTGAGAACTGGACGATGAGTAAGGATGACAGAAGAAAAACTGATGCCTTCAAACTATGGTGTTAGATCATATTACTGAACATCACATGGGCTGCCAAAAGAACAGTAGATATCTTGAGACAGTGTACCTTGAGTGTTCCTTGGAGGCAAGGATGGTGAAGCTTCATTTCACATCCTTTGGGCATATTGCTAGGAAAGACTATTCCTTAGAGAAGAACATTATGCTTGGAAAGGTAGAGGGGGATGGCAAAAAAGAGGAAGACTTAACCAGGTAGGTTGACACAGTGATTGCAGTAGTGGGCTCCAGTTTCAGAGATTTTGAAGGTGGCACAGGATAGGTCAGGGTTCAGGTCTCTTGTTCCTAGGGTCGCTATGAGTTGTACTTGACTTGACGTCACCTAAACAATAACAAACTCTGTTTTTGTTACGGCAAAAATACATATTTTTATGTATGTGTGCATATATATGTTGAGGTTTGTGGTATATATTAGTGGTAGGTAGTTCCACTGCCAACCCAAAGACACGTGGTTCAAATCCACCTACTGCTCTGTGGAGGAAGATGAGTAGTTTCCTCCCATGTGATTTATTGTTTCTGAAAACTTGCTGGAGGGTCAGCTTTGAATTGTTCCCGATTCAAAGGCACATAACTACCTACAGAGCATCTATATACACATACATGAAATATTTATGTGTATGAATATATTTTATAACAACATGCATATATATGTGTGTATGTATGTTACAACTTTCTATGTTTGCCATGGCTGAACCAAAAAAGAAGGAATATACGAATTTCTGTAGAAATTATGAGTCTATGAAGAATTTGAGGAGATGAGAGTAGCTGGTATCTCTCAGAGTGCAAAATAATTTTGGAATGTAAAGAATTTCTTGGATTGAGTTCCATGAACCTATGTTCCTGAGCAGTGAAACATGATTATATGGCCCAAGGAATAGTTTCCCTTCGTAAAGAAACAATTAACAAATTAAAAAAAGGAAAGAAAATAAATCCTTATTATTGGACCAATAGGCAGCAGCATCATGATGGAGAAAAACTTAACTTGTCAATGATTTAATTTTACTTTGATCCGTAATTGACATCTTGGTAGTCAAGAAATCAGAAGACATGTTTTATTAGGGAAATCTGCTTTAAGGCCCTTTTTAAAATGCTAAAGAGCAAGTATTCCTTTTGGAAAATAAGGTGCACCTGATCCAAGCCATGGTATTTCCATTTGCTTCCTGTGTATCTGAAAATTGGACTATGAATAAGGATGACAGAAGAAAAATTGATGCCTTTGCATTGTGGTGTTGAGAAGAGTATTGAATATCACGTGAACTGCCAGAAGAACAAACCAGTCTCTCTTGGAGGTAGTACAGCCAGGGTTTTCCTTGGAGGCAAGGATATTTTAGACAAGTTATCTGGATGGGCCCAGTCTTGGAGAGAGGAGACATTATATTAGAAAATGTAAAGGATCAGGAAAAGCAAGAAAGACCCTCAGTGAAATGGATTGACGCAGTGTAACAGTTGATTCAAGTATGTCAGAGATGGTGATGATAGGGCAGGATATGGCATGGCTCAGATCTGTTATCATAGGATCTTTGTCACCTAACCACAACAATAGCATCACAACAGTTATTTTACATTATAGTAAACCAGTATTTTCTTATCCCATAATCTGTATCTGTTAACTCAATGTCTTTATCCCTTCGTATTTTAATTCTAGTCGTGTTTGATTTTTACTTATATTTCTTGTTAGGTGCTGTTGAGTGGACTGACCCTGATTCTGGCTCTGACTTACAGCAAGAACGAATGACATGCTGTCAGTCTTGTGCCCTCAACACAGCCTCCACTGTTTAGGCCCATTCTGTGTCACTTCATCTCTTTGAAGATCATCTTCTTCGCTCTTTAATTTTGCTGCCCCCTCTTGAGACTATTCACAAGGGCTCACCATCCTTCCTTATAAGAAGAACTCTTAACCTAATTTGCTCAAACACAGATTTGTTTGTTCTTCTGAATTGAGATTTTACTCTAAAAATTTAGATTTCTATAAAAATAATCCTTGTGCATATGGTGATCATAGTGTTGTAGTAATAGGTCCATAGCATATTCATGTATATATCAGAACCACAATTCAGAACCATTAATTATTTTTAGATGTTTCTTCAGTCTGGCATTCAGATTACATTATGTGAATTCATAATATTCATAGCATTCACATTCATTATGAAGTAATTGAAATTGCCAAATCCTAGCCACTAGACCACCAGGCAACTCCTTATAAGAAGCAGTTGAAACACCATGGTTGAGATCAAGTACACACTTAGTCTTTACACTAATTACATTTGGTCTTTTGCACTTTGGGGAGGTCCTTCACAGCATATTTTTCCAATGCAGCTCTTTGATATCTGTATTCCTACTACCATGCATGTTGATTGTGGATATAGATAAAATGATCCTTAGCACCTCCAGTCTTTTTTCCATTTTACCACTTATGTATAGTAAGAGAAAAACAGCCTAGGATTAAATATTTACAATAAAGAAAGACAATAACTAGGAAGGAACTCTGAATAAGAATGTTAAGTAATAATAATAGTAAATTCTTCTCAAAATAAATTTTGAAAAAATGAAAACTTTCAGTTTAATATTTTGAACTTGGATGCCACTCTAAAGTTTGGTTTTCTAGAAAATTATCCTTGTACATATAATGACTATAGTGTTCTACTTAAATCCATCCAGCTGTCCAAAACGGTTAAAAGAATCCAATTACTCAAAAATTGCACTGGATCAAAGAACAGCTATTTCTTCTGCCTCTGAATGTGAAGTAGATCTTGGTGAAAGGAGAATACATCGAAAGAGCAAACCAAGTGCCACCAAAGGGCGTGGATCCAGGCGGAATCGAGGTAAAAGCTCTAAGAAGGAACCTAGATCTGTCAGATCTGTGCTGGTGACTCTTCGGGCTTCCCAGCAAGAAGATGAAGATGATATTGAAGATTTTGACTCTGATTATGAAGAAGAAAGCTATCACCTTGCCCCGGAAGAAGTAAACAAAGCTCCAGTATTTGTACCCCTCGGTCTTCGATCTCCTGAACCTGTTCCTACACAGATTGAGGAAACTATGGAAGAGGTAACATTTTTGCTTTGTTTTGAATCTGTGTCACTGACCTTGTTTTTTTCTTCTCTCCTACCCCCCCCTTTTTTTAAGGTAGATAATTTCTTAATTCTCTAGGTACTAGAACTTGAATAAGTGAGTCTCCGAATAATTTGTAGCAAATGTGATTTGTTTGGGGCTCAGTGGAGTACCTACCACTAAAATATGCTGATTGATTGTAATAATCACTGACACTTCCAAACTCTTACTATCTTAATTTTGCTAAGTATTTTTATCAGTTTAAGAATTGCAGTGCTTTATTTTCTTAATGTGAATTATTTCAAGTTAACATTTTATCTTAAATATTCATGTGGGAAATGAGGTTTAGTTTTGCAGTCTAGAGTGTGCCAAAATGGAATAATGAAACTTGTCATTTTGATAGCTTGAAATAGCTGTGGATGTCCCAGATACTCCATGCATAGCTCCTGTTGAACATCACCTCTTAAATACAGATGTTATTATTCAGGAGATGAATCAAGAAGAAAATTTGAATGCATTATCAATTGTAAGTAATTTTTATACTTTAGTATATTTTTGCCTTTTATTTTTAACTTTCTAAAAACTAAGGGTTTGAGAGATTTACGTTTACAATCTTAGTTTATTTCTCTCAAGTATTGAGATCAAGTAAGTATATTAGAAACTAGTTTTTTGCCTTTGACTTGGAAAACTTTGATTCTTTTTTTCTCTGTAGTATCTCAACTCAGCTCACTGCCATTGAGTCAGAACTGCCCTGTCGCTGACCCTCCAGTGTGTTCTTAGAAACTGCAAATCTCATGAGAGAAAATGCCCATCATTCTCCTTTGGAGTAGCTGTAGATTTGAAGTACCCATATTTGGGTTATCAGCACAGCTCCCTATGTAGTAGGGCTTCAGAGCTTGTCTCAGTATACTCAACAATCTTAGTCTAAATTCTTTTGAATTTAAAAAATTTTTAAAAATGGCTTTACTGATATGCTTTCTGTGTTACATACTTTACTCATTTATCCCGTAGAATTCAGTTGTTTTTAGAATTCACGTGTTTTTAGTGTATTCTTAGATACATGTGATCATTACCACAGTCAGTTTTAGAACCTTTTCATTGTCTCAAAAAGAAACAGCCTGTTCTTTAGTTATTGCTCTTTAAGTCCATGGCTTCAGAACAGAGCAGGGAAACATTGCATGGTTCAAAATCAAGAAACTAGTGCATTAGGGATGCATCCTGTCTCCATACCTTTTCAATCCATATTTGAAACATTTCATTTGGAAGGAGGAAGACTCTTTTTTTTTTTTTTTTACGTGTGTACCGTCAAATCGGATCTGACTGGTACAGGAGGCGATTGTTCCTCCTTCTTCAGCAGAGCATCTGGTGGATTTGAACCGTGCACCTCTGGGATTGCAGTGCAGAGGAGGAAGACTCTTTAACAGCCTGTGTTATGTGGTGACACAACCTTCCTTACCAAAATTGAGGAATACCAGAAGTATTTGTTGCAGAAAATCAAGGACTGTACTCTTCAATATGGATTGCATCTCAGCATCAAGAAAATAAAGATTTTTGGGCCATTTGACAACACCATGATAGATGGAGAAGAGATTGAGATTATTAACTATTCCACCTTGCTCAGGTCCACAATCCGCACTCAACAGGCAGGAAATTAAAAGATGAATTGCACTGGGAAAATCTGGAACTTCTCCAGAGTGCTGAAGAGAAATAATGTCAGTTTAGCGACTAAGGTGCACCTGATGCTGACCATGGTCTTTGCAATTACTTCAGAGAGCTCAGTGGTTACTAAGGATGACTGAAAAAGAATCGATGCCTTTGAGTTATGGTGTTGAAGAAGATTGTTGAACATACCATGTGCTGTTTAGAGAACAAACAGGTCTGTCCTGGAGAGGGTGGAACCAAGTTGCTTCCTGAAGTCAAGAATTTTAAAGTTCTGGCTCACATAATTTTGGCACTTGGCCAGGAGGGACAAGTCCTTGGAGGACGTAGTATTTGGAAGAATAGAGGGACAGTGCAGGAAAGGAAGGCCTTTAATGAGAAGCATTGACACAGTAACTAGGATAATGGGCGTGGGTGTGTCAGAGGCAGTGCAATTGGCTTAGAATAGGGCGAAATTCAGAACTCTTGTACATACGGTTGCTATGAGTTGCAGTCCACTTAACAACACCCAATGTAGGAGGGAGCTCCGGTGGCCTAGTGGTAGGAAGCTGTGCTGCATTCCCAAAGGCCCATGGTTCAAATCCACCACATGCTTCGCTGTGGAAAAGGAGGGTCAATCTCCTCCTGTGCCAGTCAATCTGATTCGACAGTACAGGAAAAACAAAGAAAGAAACAAAACCAAACAACAAAAAAGCCTCCAAAACAAACAACAGCTCCATGTAGGGAACTCTGGTGGCTCAGTGGTAAGGAATTGCACAGCTAATGCAGAAGCATGCAGTTCGAATTCACCAGCGGCTCTGTGATACGAAAATGGGTAGTCTCCCATGCTGTTTACTGCCTCTGAACACTCACTGGAGGGTCAACTATGAGTTGGTTTCCAACTTAATGTTACATAATAGGAACAACAACAGGCATTCTGGACTTGCATATGAATGGAATCATACCAAATGGAGTCTTTTTGTGACTGGCACAATATAGAGGCACAAGATACCACCACATGTAAAAGTTTAGAATAGATAAAAGACGTAAATGGGCAAACTAAAACCATGAAACACTTAGAAGAAAGTACAGGAGCAGCACTGTCAGGCCTAGCTTTCCCCCCCCCCCGTCAGACCTAGCTTCCCCCCCATAAATATTCCCCCCCTTTTTAAAAATAAATTTAATGAAAGTTTACAGAAACTTAGGGTTTTCAGTCATTCATTGTTGCACTTTTCTCCCTACCCACCTCCTCCCCCCAATTCACTCTTCTCCTTGAAAAGAAAGAAAAACTCATTGTTATGCAATCCCTCCCCCCCCAAGTCCACTCCACTACGCAGTCTTCACTCTGGACTTTGGTAATGACAAGGATACCCATTCATGTATCCCTTTTAAACAGTTCTTTCCCTCATCTGTTTCAATGCAATGTACATCATTCCTTCCCCTCTTTTTCTGTCTTCCCTCAACCCTGATGTCAGTCCCGTTTTACAACAGTGGCCCTATGCAGTATTTGTCCTTTTGTGACTGAGATAGTTCACTCAGTATAATGTCCTCCAGGATCATCCATTTTGCATAATATTTCATGACTTCCTTGTTTTTCAATGCTGCATAGTATTCCATTGTGTGAATATACCACAGCTTCTCTATCCATTCGTTTGTTGATGGGCACTTAGGTTGTTTCCAGCTCTTTACTTTGCTATAAGCCATATTGAACATGGGTGTGCATCAGGCCTAGCTTTTAACAATAATATTATCTAATGTAATAATAGAAGAACAAATATCAAGGAACCCATAAATAGTGTTTAAAGATATTAAAAACTCTTGTTCATCAAGAGACAAATGAAAAATGAACACACCAAGTAAGTGGGTATTTTGGAAGCCACACTCTAGTAAGTTTCAAATAGCCAAAATGCTTTAACACTTTGATAATTTTACAGCAGAAATGATTACATTTGTAAAAGACTGGCATGGATATTTTACCCAAGAGGATATTCAGGTGGGTATCAAATAAATGAAAAGATACTCAGCATTATTATTACCATACAATTGCAAGTCAAATCTACCATGAGGTATAGTTTCCCTCTAGGAAGAATATGATTGAAAAAGAAAAACAAAACCCCCACAAGTATATAGAGAAATTAGAGCTCTTACTCATTGCCAGTGGGAATACCAAAATCATAGTGCTATTTTGGAAAAGAGTTTTTGGAAAACATCTAAAATTCAAAGTACTCTATAGCACAGTAATTTCTAGGTATGTATCTAAAAACTTTGAAGACAGAGCCTTGTAACATGTGTTTATTATAATATTATTCATAATTGCCAAAGAGTGTAAATACTCATACACAGATGAATGGATAAATAAAATGTAGTACAAGCATTCCATAGAGAGCCAGTATAAGGGACGTCTTGGTACATGCTACAGTATGAATGGAGCTAGAACCATTATGCGGAATTAAAGAATTCACAGAAGAACCAATACTAGATGACTTACTAAAAGGCAAGAAAAGTCAAATGCATTTAAACGGAAGTTTATTTGTGATTTCTAGGGTAGGAAGGGAGGTTAATCATTTTGGAAAAATTTGCTAAGGGTAGGTTTGTACTAAATAAGGAAGGTAATTGGCTGTAAAAAAAGTTGTACCCTTTTAAAAAAATTGAATTGGCAAATTACATATTTATAACAGTGTCACTTTTTTCTGTTCTCCTTCCACTCCAATAGAGTTAAGTGCTAAGGCAGTCTTCACAAATGTAAGTGTACTGCCAAAAGCCTCATGGTGTTTGGTTCCTTGATTTGGAGGTTTAAAGCCATGGTTTCATGAAACATCCCACTAAATGGGCCTAATAACATATTTAGTGCATCTGCTACACCTCTTGGTTCATTGTGTAATACCTGGCTTCTGAAGAACTTTCAGGCAGCCATCTAAGGCAAAATAGTTTTGTCTAAAACAACAGAGGAAATTGGAAGGTGATATGGAATGTGTGCATAGTTGACTCCATGAATAGCTCTCTGTATGAGATGGAAAGATCTACATGGTGCCTGGTCACTGTAATTGCACATTGTGATCCAATTATCTGTGTAAGAATCCTTATCAGAAGTGTCAAAACACAGAGCAGAATTTCTACTATTCATGGACTTCAGACTTCCTTCAGAAACTGGGTCAATCTTAAAACTATTACCTTGAGATAAAGTCTTTAAAATGTAAACTAAAAATATTCTCCAAAATATTTTTCAAACCAAACAGTAATATAATGTTGTTTAACTAGTGGAGAATGTCTACCTTGAGTGATATGTCCTTTTAACATATATGTGGAGGTCTTCATGTCAACCACTCATCTGCTCTTGTACGGTCAGGGCTATAACATTTCTGTTTAGAGTTTTCTAACTTTATAGTGTTTTAGGTACTGTTGTGTTTCTACCTTGTTGTGTAGACTGGAAGGATGTATTGAATAAACTAAGGTTAGAATGCAAAAAAAAAAAAAAAAACCAAAAAAACCACCAAAACACCTCTATGTGGAATCAAAGTGTCAGCAACCACTTGAAAGATGGGAATCTTAGAGGATAGTGAGTTTATTAATAGGGATTAACTCAGAAGAGGAAAGGAAGAATGCTTGCACTACTTGAGGAATGTAGTCAATCCTATTGAAATGTACATGTAGAAATGCTTGGATTGGCATGTGTTTTACTTTGTATATTCTTAGGAACAATAGCAAATAAAATGAAATAATTTGGCTCTTAAATTTTTTTCTACTTGTATTTGAATTTGTGATCAATGAAACATTAAGAAAAGATAATTATCAACATTGTAATTAAAAGTGTAGGAAGACCTGTGGAATGTAGAAATATTTGAGGCATAGAACAAATTTTTGGAAAAATAGATGTTACATGTCCTTTTCTTTTTTAGGAAGTGACCACAAGTGAACATACTCAAGATGAAACAGGTAACTGTTAACAAAGGAACTATTTAAATTCTTTGAATAAGACTGTTATTGTCATGTGCCATCCATTGACTACAACTTGTAGTGACTCTATGAACAGTGGCTCTAAACCTTGTCCTGTTCTGAGCCAGTCTTGTATCAGACACATCTGACCACTCTGTCAGAGTCACTGTGTCAATCCATCTCATCCAAAGTCTTACTCTCCTATCCACCCTTCCAAGCACGATGTCTTCTCCAAAGACTCCTCTCCTGGCCACATGCCCAAAGTATGTGAGATGGAGCTTCAGAATCCTAGCCTCCATGAAGAAAGTTAGTTTCACCCTCTCCAAGACAGACTTACTTGTTTTCTTGGTGGTCCATGCCTTTTCTCCCAAACCACATCTCAAAGGCATTGATGATTCTTTTGTCATCTTTAGCCATTGTCCACCTCTATGCATAGCAAGCATTTGAGAAGACCATGGCTTGGGTCAGGCTCACCTTAGTCTCTAGACTTATTTCATTGCTCATTAGCACTTTGGAGAGGTCCTTGACAGTAGGTGTTCCCAATTGTAACTCATCCCTATGATTAACATTAGGACAATGATATAATAGCAGTCAGAACTCAGACACTTCCTGTCATCTGTTGTTTACTGTCGAGTCAGAATCAACTCATAGCTTACCCTACAGTGATTTTTCAGAGGTAGTAATTTGTATAAGAGGGTATTGCCCATCCTCTTGCAGACACCTGTTGGATTTAAAACACCTGCCATTGGGTTAGCAGTTCAACTCCTCACCATTTGGAACCAACTCATGGCCTCTTCTAAACCATGCTCTATATATTGCCTCTCAAAACCCACTGGAGGATCAGCTATGAGTCAGTTCTGACTTAACAGGAAACACCACCATTACGTTATTAAGGGAGCTCTAGTTTTGGAAGCAGGAGTGGCACCCACTTCCTAAGTAACATGCCTCCAGAAACTCTTATGAACTTTGATAAATGTTGATAGTTGTAGAGGGGCTTCAAGCCTTTTCTTCATAGGGTCACTATGAGTCGTGCTTGACACGAAGGCAGTCAATAACAACAGTTATTACTAGGTGCCTTCAAGTCAAGTACAACCCATAGTGACCCTGTGAACAACAGATCTGAACCCTCTCTTATCCTTTGTCATCCTCATACTTCCTGACACACTAGAATCCATTACAGCAGACACTGTGTCAGTTCACCTGGTTAAGGGTCTTCTTGCCCTTTGAGGACACTCTGCCTTTTCAAACATGATGTCCCTCTCTGAGGAATATCCTCTTATGGCAACATGCCCAAAGTATATGAGGCAGAGCTATATCATCTTTACCTGTAAGGAGCACTCTGGTTGCAGTTTCTCCAAGACATACTTATTTGTTCTTTTACCAGTCCATGGGCTGTTCAGTACTCTTCTTCAGCATTGTCGTTCAAAGGCATCAATTCTTCTGTCATCCTTACTCATATCCAGCTCTCACATGCATAGCAAGTAGTCAGAGAAACTATGGCCTGAATCAGACACACCTTAGTCCTTACACTGAGAAAGCCGTGACTGCAGACTTTCTTAGTGCAGCACATCTGATTTCCTGACTGCTGGTGGAAAGGGTGTTGATTGTGGTTCCAAGTAAGGTGAAGTTGTTGACAGTTTCAGTCTCAGGGAACTGTGCTGCTAACACAAAGGCTGTTCCTCACTGGCAATTTGAGTCCACCAACGGAGTCAAGCTAGATGGGATTCCCAACATAGTTTTAAAAGAGGTTTCACACCAGAAATATCATTGTTAATGTCAGATGGATCCTGGCTGGAAAGCAGAGAATACCAGATTTATATTCTATCTGTTTATGTTCTATTACTATACAAAGACATATGAGTGTGTGGATCATAATATACTATGACTAACATTGAGAAGAATGGGAATCTGAGAACACTTACTTGTGCTCATACACAATCTGTGTCTAGACCAAGAAGCTGCTATTTGAACAGAACAAGGGAACATGGTATGTTTTAAAATCAGGGAAGTGTACATCATAGTTATATCTTTTCTCTTTACCTGTTCAGTCTCTGTGCTGAGCAAATAATCTGAGAAGCTAAACTCTATGAAGAACAATGTTGCATCAGGATTGGAGGAAGGCTTAACAACCTGCGTTATGCAGATGACACAACCTTGCTCCCTGAAAATGAGCAGGACTTGAAATGCTTGCTTCAATATGGATTGCATCTCAACATCAGGAAGACAAAATCTTCACCGCTGGACCCATAAACATCATCCTGGTAGATAGAGAGAAGGTTGAAATTGTTAGATATTTCATATTATTTGGATCAATAAATCAACACTATTGGTACCAGCAGTCAGAAGATCAGGAGATGTATTGCACTGGACAAGTCTGTTGTGAGGAACCTCTCCAAAGTACTAAGGAGCAATGATGTTAGTTTGAATATTAAGATAAACTTGATTCAGGCCATGATTTTTCCAATCTACATCTTAGATCTGGTAAATGAATAAAAATGATAAAGAATGGATGCATTTGAGTTGTGGTCAAGTACTGAATGCTCCATGGACTGAGAAAAGAGCAAACAGATCTGGACTTTTTGTTCTTTGCTGCCAGAATGCTCCTTGGAGACAATGAATTCAAAGCTTTGTCTCACATACTCAGGGAGTATGTTGCTAGCAGAGGCTGCTCCTTGGAAAAGGACATCATGCTTGGAAAGGTAGAGGGTTAGAAAAGGAGAACAAGACTGCCAGCAAGTGACTGAAGAGTCATGTTGTGACTGCAGAAATGGACTCAAGTGTGTCAGTGATGATGAGGATGGCACAGCATAGGACAGGGTTTAGATCTGTTGTTTATCGGGTCTCTGTGAGTCATATTCAACTGAATGGCATCTAACAACAGCTACAGTATTGCAAAGGAGGAGATTGCCCATCTTTCTCCTATGGAGCAGCTGATGGATTTAAACTGTCCTTGAGTTGACAGTGGAACTCCTTATTAAAGGAATCAAATGCTGAGTGGTTGAAGAAGAAGATTAACTGTTGAATTGAATATCTTTAGAGAGAGGGAAATTTAGATTCTTGAGTGAGGGGTTTAGGTATTAATGACTAGCCAATAATTCAGGATTACTCTGTACATGTATCATCTGAAAAAACATTACCGTAGTAAAGAGTAGCTACTGGGGGATACTTAACCATGTTACTAGATGAAAAACATATGACTGGAAAAGTATTTAATTTTTAAGAATGCACATTTAAATTTCCAGATAAATCCTTGAGTTTTAAGACAAATTTCTTTTTCTCACAAGGTGCCAGTGATGGAAGCACTGAAGCTGCCATAGCTTTACTGACAATGGGAGATCTGGTGTTACAGTCTGAGATCAGTACTGAACCCCCGAGTGGTGGTAAGAACGAAAGCTAAAACTTAAAAGAAAACTTTAAAAAAATAGATCTACGTTTAAATAATAAGTGAATACCCTACCTACCCTTTACATTTAAAATTGGCATAATTTTATTTTTTTCAGGAATGGTAATGTGTGTGCATTGACCCATTCATTCATTTAGTGGACTTTGAGAGATTTACTGACAACTGTCTTGAAATAGTGTATGAACTTGGTTGGTTAAGAATAGTTTGTATTCACAGAATAGTTCTTCTGGTGATTCCTCTAACTTTATCATCATTAATACCATTGAGTAAATGAGCTTTCTCATCACCGATTACTTTATACAGGTGTCTGTAGCAAAGGGCTGAGCTTTGGAGGGTCCTCAGTTAAATAACAATCAAATGCAGTGAGAAATGGCAGTGAGTTAATCATTTAGTGGAAAATTTTTTTAAAAAATTATTATTAATTTTAATGAAAATTTACAGAGATTTTGGCTTTCCATTCATTCATTGTTGCATTTTTCTCCCTGTCCACCCGCCCCCCCAATTCTCTCTTCAAGAAAAGAAAAATTCTTTCATTGTTATACAATCCCTCCCCCCAAGTCAACTCCACTATGCAGCTTTCGTTCTGGATTCCTGTCATGACAATAAGACCTAATCATATATCCCTTTTAAGCAGTTCTCTCCCTCATCTGTTTCAATGCAGTATACATAATTTATCCCATCTTTCTCAGTCTGCCCTCAACCCCGATGTCAGTCCCATTTTACAACAGTGGTACTATGCAGTATTTGTCCTTTTGTGTCCAGCATAATGTTCTCTGGGGTTAGGGAAACAGTTTAAACTGTTAAGAGTAGTTTAGAACAAGACAAAAGATAGAATTCAACCTAGATTTTTATTGTATTTTAACCCAGAATATTCTTTTTTTTTTATGCTCTGAGTTTATAGATTAACTTAATTTGTACTGTATTAGTTAAGTGTCTTGCATTTTAACATTTTTATGCATGTATCACACATAAAGGTGTTTTTCAGTCAGAGATTAATTTGTATTTCCTCTACAGCTCTCCTCATTGTATTGTTGCTTACTACAGAGTATTACAGTGGCCCATGTCACAAACCTCTTAAACATAAACTACTTAAAAAATTGTAAATGAAGACAGTTTAATCTTTAAATCGATCTTAGGATATATAGTTATTGAAAGTAATAAATTGTTTTAACATAAAAAAAAATTCACCTGTATGAATTTTTAAGCATACAAGTCAAAGGCATATTGTAAATCTTGAAATTGTAAATATATATATTGGGAGCCCAAAAAACTGAATTTAAAGAAAATGTTTTTAGCTGCCACAGATTAGTGTTCATGGTGAGCCCATTAGCAAGCAGTAGGATCAGACCATTGTGGTCCATCCAATTTTCATTAACTCATTTTTTAGAAGCATAACATGAGGTGTTTCTTATCTAAAATAATACCTTGTTTGGTGTCAGCCAGTCAGTTCCAACTCGTTGTAGTGCTTTGTTCAACAGAGCAACACTCTCCCTTGTCCAGCAGCATCTGCAGAGCTTTTACTCTTTGTGAGTCCATTGTTAATGGCAAGTGTTCATTTATCTTTCAGAGGGTCTTCCTCTTTTGTCCTGATCCTTTACCTTACTAAACATGATGTCCTTCTTTACGGACTGGTCCTTCCTGATAACATGTCCAACGTTGCATGAGAGGACATCTTACCATCTTCACTAATAAGGATTGTACTTGTTGAACTTCAAAGACAAATTTGTTCCTTTTTCAGGCAGTCTGTAGTATATTAAATCTGTGCTAACATCATGTTTTAAATGCATTAGTCCTTTGATCTTCTTTATTCATTATTTAAGCTTTGTTATGAATAGGAGATGATTGAAATACCATGACATGGGTAAAGTGCACCTCAGTCCTCCAAGTGGAATCTTTCCCATTGAATGCTTTAATGTTCTTTTGCAACATATTTACCCAGTGCATGTATTGTTTGATTTCTTGAGAGCTGCTTCTTTGAGTTTTGATTGTGACTTCAAGTGAAAGGAAGTCCTTAGCAACTTTAAAATAATAACAGAATTTTAAAATTTCCAAATGTAGAAGACAATTAGTTGGATATATGTTTTATATTTGGTTAATTTTGATTTTTTTCTTTTTTGCAACAGAAATAGATGTACTTCCTCTTCTCGATGCAAAGGACCATAGCCATGTTCCTTCTAGCCCAATTAATGTTAGTCACAGCATTGTTCATGAATGTCAAGAGCTTTCTTTACCTGTTGTTAGTGTATCTCCTGCATTGTTCGAAGAAAACAAGACTGAATTGCAAGAACAAAGTGCTAGAGACGAAATTGGTTCAATGGAAAATGTAAAGGAAGATACTGCACCAGCCAGGTTTAGTTTGCATTTTTAAATCTATTCTTTAGCACTTTCCTGAGAAATAAATCAGTTATATTCAACTAATAATATTTCCAGTCCCCGGTTTATTTGGTGCCATTGAATAATGCTTGTGTAAATATAAAGTAGATAGTTGTGCTTTCTCACCCTTTAAAATAGGTTGGCTGATTCTAGCTAATGTGATATTAGAGTGTTGGTCTTTGAAGCCTTCATGAAATAATTTGATGTAAATGTAATCTGTGATTTACAGTTTAGGCCCAGATTTTCTCTCCTGCCCAAGATCTTTTCTAAAATTATTTACTCTGTGATTGTAGCATTACAAAAATGAGTTAATTTTTATTTTAAATTAATAATAAATTTCTCAGTGCTAGACATTAACTATATCACTACTTGAAAAAGACTTTTACATGGTGAATAAATTTCTTTGCCTTCTTATGTCTCTTTTAGGGAAACAGTCTCTAAAGTGACCAGTAACTTGAAAATAAGAAATAGATTTCCCAAGCCTAAGCCAAATCTGAAGAGGATTTTAGGGACCAGAAGGCCTGTTGCTCGTCAAGAAGTTCCCAGTTTGACTATAATTGAAGGGGGGAAAGTAGAAATTCAGAATGGTAAATATATTTTTCCTTTACAGAGTTGCTTTGACACATGAAATTATATAAGCATTTCAAATAAAATATTCAGTCATTAAACTAACATAGTACAAGGAGCTCTCGTGGCCTAGAGGCAAGAAGTTGTGCTGAAATCCTGAAGGCACTGGGTTTGAATCCACCAGATGCTCCAGTGGAGAAAGAGGAGCAATCTCCTCCTCTGCCAGTCAGATCTAATTCAGTGGTGCACAACAAGAAAAAAATACCCAAAAACTAACATAGTACAAAAAATGTGCAAATATATAGAAATATATAGAAAAGTAGAATGAACTATTAAATAAATGCTCATATTTGACCAAATCACCAACTCATTTAAGTAATTAATTTCAGTTGCTATATTTACTTCTTGTTGAGTACTATTGAGTCAGAAGCAAGACCCTCTAGTCGAAGGCAGTAAATCTCATAGGAGGAGATAACCTATCCTTTTCCTTTGGATCAACTGGTAGATTCATACTGCATGCCTTTTGGATTCTTACTACTAGTCCACCAAAGTTCAAACCAATGTCTCTTAGAAATGTAATGCATGTGGCAAAACTCAGGAAGCTCCTGACAGTCATAAAATGAACAAGCTCCCTTTTTGCTTGGTTCACTGCCTGATAATTCCACTTCTTGTGGTAAACTGCTATTAAGTTCTCTTATACTTCTAGAAATGTTTTTATACAATCATCTATATGTATAAACTGTATACACATACATGCATGTACATAAACCCTTCAGAAAGAACTAAATATGTGCATAGTATATCATACGTACTATCTAGAACTTTTTAAATAACAACTTTATGTTAAAGTTCATCTGGTAAAAGTGTAATTCACTCTCATGTATAGTCATGTACATTGAGTTATATAATCATCACCACAGTCAACTGTAGAACCTTTTATCATCTCAGAAAGATACTATTTTATTATTAGTCGCTCTCCAGTTATTCCTCAACCCTAATTCACTTTCTCTTTCTATAGTTCTGCCTGTTTTTGGATATTTCATATAAATGGAATTATATACTATGTGGCCTTTTAGAATTACCTTCTTTCACTTAGCATAATGTCAAGATTCATTTGTCTTAACAGCTTATATTAGTATATTTTTAATTACCAAATTACATTCAATGCCAGGCACCTCAGTTTGTAAAAACACTGTATCTGAAAACAAAAACAAAAAACACAGTATGTGCAAAGTACAACAAAACAAAACACAATAAAACCCTGTATACCTAAAATTAGTGTCCTCATTTTCATGATTTTAGAATTTAGGTTTCTGATTTTTTTGGATTTGCCTTCAAACTGCACTTTCTATGGTATATTGTACATGTGCAGTTTGTTAATTGAGTCTTGCTCAACTCGATGGCAATCAACAACAACATACTAAAATTTATTGTGTTAAGATATCTATGAGTATATAACACTTTTGTTATTATCACACTTATGTGTACAGTTCAGTGCCATTATTTTTACAGTTACGTGACGCCATCACCATTATCCATTTCCAGACTTTTTTTTTTTGCACCTAACAGGAAGTCCATGCCCCTTAAGTGATAACGTCCCATAATGCACTCCCAGACATCCCTGGTAGCCGCATTGGCTTTGATACTTCATCTTGATATTTTGTGCAGATACCACCTCAAAGCTAGATTATCATTGTCTAGATACTTCTTATAGATGAGATCGTACAATATGTGGCCTTTTGTGTCTGACTAAATACACTCAGTGTAATGTTTCCAGATTCCTCCGTGCTGTAGCATATATCAGGACTTTATTTGTTCATAATGACTTAATTATATTCCATTATAGGTAAATTTTGCATTTTGTTTATTTTTTGTGATGATTTTTCCTGAATTATTCATCTGTTCAATTGTTTTTCTATGTATGGAAATAGCTTTTTCTCAGTATCATTTGTGGAAGAGACTCTTTTCCCCCCCCATTGAATGCTCTTATATTCTGTCAGGTCAGAGCTGTGTTATAGCTGACCCTCCAGAGGGTTTTCAGAGGCTGTAAATCACATGGAAGGAGATTGTCCATCTTTTTCCTGAGGGATACCTAGTGGATTTGGACAGTGTGCCTTTGCGTTTGCAGCACAGCTCCTTACCTCTGAGCCACCAGAGCTCCTTCCATTGACTAGAGTTAATTCTTATCACTGTTTGAGCAGGACGTAGACATTCTGTGAGAGTGCAGGTTCATCTTAATTTTCCTTCCATTCTCTGGCGTTATTACTGCACCATGCTTGCCTCCTCCTAGTATTTCTCCCAGACTCCCTTTAAGGTGGAGCTAACCAAACCTCAGTGCACTTTCCTTTAAACTGCTCATGTATGCATATTGTAATGCCATTACCATAAAGTGAGATTGCACATACAGTGACAGACAGAAGTGATATGTGCATTGTACCAGGTTCCTTGATCGTCTGTTTTGCCATTTAAAAATTACCCTCTCCAAGACCATTCTTCTGCTATGTACATAAACTTGCTTTTCCATTAAAAAAATTCGGTAAAGTCACTAGTTCTTAAGAGAGAATGTTTTTATTAAATGGAAATTTTAGTTTTACTGTTTTGAACTATATCTTAAATGTGGGTTTTTTTTTCAGTTTGGAAAAAAACACCAGGGTGGTTTTTTTTTTTGTTGTTGTTGGGGTTTTTTTGGTTTGTTTATAAATGATGGAGATACAGGTGGCAAATGGTTTGCCATATCAATATTTATCATAATATAAGTTTTCAGATATGTAACATTTGTTAAAGAATTCACATCATTTAGTGATAGGTATTAGTAATTCATTTTCCCCATGACCCCTAACAGAAGCTCAATATGTCCTTCTCCGTCTCTGACTTCCATTTTTGATCACTACTAGTAAATTTTGTTCCCTTTACACTTATCAAAGATATTTCCTGGAAATGGAATTTTATAGTAAACTTTTTGTGGCTGACTTTCTTTACCTAACATAATATTCAAATGTGGGTTTTGTTTTTTTAAGAAACTGAGAAAAGTACTGTCCAGGGAACAGAATTGGATGATAATAGTCTTGGATCAATTATAACAATGGAGAATAAAGAACAGAGCAAATTAACATGTGCATATGGTATTGAAGGAACCAGTATTTCACAAGAAGCAAACCTGACTAAAAGGTGAGAGATTCTATAGATTGTTTATATTTTGTTTTTATTATAATCATAACTAAAGAATTTTATTGCAAAGAGATTTCTGCTGCAGTAGCTATATTTTAATAGTTTGAAGACCGTTGTATTAAATAGTCTTTGAGATGCCTAACTTTGAAAAGCCCTGTGGTTTTTTTTTGTATACCTAATTTCAACTGTATACTAAAACTCTCTTTCAGAAATGAAGCCCAGGAAGAGGGGTCTCAAGAGGTTCAGAAATTATCAGTTGCTTCAACAGTTTCTTCAGAAACAGAAATTCACCCTCTTGGTCTGGATAGGAATCTCGGAGAGAATTCTGTTAACGAGCCCCTGAGAGAACATTGCAGTGGAAACAGTGTACTTACAATTCATGAACCAGAGGTAAAAGAATGTAAAATATGACAAAATGTGCCTAAGAAGTTTTCCCCCTCCATATAAGAAAACTAAGGTAGAAGGTACATGATGTCTTTTTAATGTAGAATAGAAGTCTGCATGTTTTAATAAGCATTTTTGGTTGTATTGCCACCAGCATCGTCAACACTACACTCGATATAGGAGTATTCCATTTGCAAAAATATTCCCTTGCATTTATTTTTAAATACTTCTCCTCATCCTTATAAATAGCAGCCGAACATTGTTTGATACAGGGCCAGAAGATAAGCCCCCAGGATGGAAGGCACTCAGAATGCAACTGCAAAAGAACTGCCTCTTTAATGTGCAGTCTGTCGAAATGACATGAATGGAGAAAGCTTTCATCCAATTTCATCATTTGCTGATATGGCAAGATTCAAAGTGCAGAGAAACAACTGCAGACATCTTTTAATAATTGAAATGTGAAACATACAAGGGATGAATGTACGAAAATGCAAAGCTCCCAAAATTTAATAGAAAGCATAAAGATCAACTTCCTAGGAGTTCATGGGCTGAAACAGTATTGACCATTTTGAATCAGGTACGTGTACGATATTCTATGCCAAGAATAACAGATTCAGGCCATTTCTATGAAGATAGCTCTGAAAGCGAAGATGGAAGCCCCTGTCCCTCCCAAAACTGAAGCCAAACCAAAGGCATTAAAGGCCAAGAAGACAGTCCTGAAGGGCATCCACAGCCAAAAAAAAAGATCCTCACGTCACCTACCTAAGACGATGAGACTCAGAAGGCAGTCCAAATAACCCTGGAAGAGCACCCCAAGAAGAAACAAGCTTGACCACTATGCCATCATCAAGTCAGCCATGAAGAAGATAGAAGATAACAACATACTTGTGTTCATTGTGGATGTCAAAGCCAACAAGTACCAAATTAAACAAGCTGAAAAGAAGGTCTATGACATTAATGTGGCTAAGGTCACCACTCTGATTAGGCTTGATGGAGAGAAGAAGGCCTATGTTCGACTTGCTCCTGACTATGATGCTTTGGGTGTTGCCAACAAAATTGGGATCATCTAAACTGAGTCCAGCTGGCTAATTCTAAATACAAATTTTTCTTCCAGAAAAAAGAAAAATAGATAGATTCAGGAGAAATGATGTGACATCATTATGAAAAAGAATATTTCAAGATTTGTCCTGAAGGACAGTGCTGTGAATGTTAGGATACTACCCAAATACAAACCTGGAAGGCTTGTTAATTTCACTATCATTCAAATCTATGTACCAACCACTAAACCTAAAGATAAATTAAGGATTTCTGCTGATTCTGCAGTGTGAAATTGATCAACATGCAACCAAAATGCATTAATAATAATTGGTAACTGGACTGCAAAAGGTGAAAACAAAAGACTGGTACTTGGAAAATAAAGCTTTAGTGACAAAAATGAGGCCAGAAATACTATGATAAATTTTCTTTAATTCACTGCAGATACTTAATAATGATTTAAAAATAAAGAAAAATGAGTAGACATGGAGGAGAATACTGAATATCCATTCCATAGACTGCCTAAAGGACACGCAAGTCTGTCTTAGAAAAAGTGCTCCTTAGAGGCAAGGATGGTGAAACTTTCATGGACTTTGGCATGTGGTCGGTGAGGGGCCAGTCTTTGGAAAATGACGTCATCCTGGAATAATGGGAGCAGAGAGAGAAGAACCTTAACAGGAGTGATTGACAGTGACTGTAACAACGGGATCAGGCGTGACAGAACATGTGAGGATGGTGCAGAATATGGCACAGTTCAGATCTGGTGTTCATAGGGTTGCTGTGAGGGACACTGCTAACCAAAGGTTGCAGTTCTTCTCTGGTGGTTCCAGTTCACCAACGACTTCTTGGGGAAGTAATGGGCAGTCTCATGGCATTTCAAGTACAGTCTCAGAAGCCCAGTGGAGGGTCACTAAGTTGGAACCAACTTGACAGCAGTATGTTTATTTCAGTGAGTAGCAAGAGATGCTAGAGAAGTGCAACACCTGTAATCAGAACAAAGATCAGAGGCCGATGCTGGAACAGACAATATGCAGATTCCATTTGAAGCTGAATAAAATGGAAACAAGTCTACACGAGCTAAAATATGGCATTGAGTTTATTGCACTTGAAGTAAAATCAATTTCAAGATAAGATTTGATGCATTGAATGCTAACAGCAAAAGAAGACCAGATGAGTTGTGGGATGACAAAATTAAGATTTGATCAATCTCACTTTTTCCTTTTACTTTTTCATGACAGTGTATACCAAATAGTATTCCAGAAGTCCAGCAGGAGAGTATATTCAGTCCTCAAGACCTAGCAGGTATGATAACTTGGTTTACTGAAATGTCATAGGACCTAATAGTATGATTTTAACTCCCACGTAACTATAGAGATACATTTAATATATTTTTTAAAATACAGAACCAACTTAAATTACATTTCATATCAACTTTTTTTACTCAGAATTCTGTCACCTTTACATTGTTTTCTTTATTCTTAATTCTTTGGGGGCTGTAGATGTGTATGTAATTTTTTTAAGTCTTGGTGATAAGTTGTCATAAGAGTATCTATTAGAAATGAAATAATTATTTTTTTCTGTCTTGTGATTCAGTTTTTTTATTGCTGCCTTTTAAATTTCAATAGTGAATCTGTTTCCTAACATACATCAAGATGGAGAGGATGAGCAAACATTCATCTTAACTCTGGTGGAAATCCCAACTAGTGAAGTAGAAGGGTTTACTAATAACACTGCAGAGTTATTGCCGAACCCTTTATTGCCAGCGCCCATATTGGTTAAATCAGTGAATACAGAAGAAAAGGGTGACCTGAGGTAATTAATGAGCTAAAGTATTTTTTCCTGAGAATAAACGTGCTTTACATATTTATTGAGCAAACTGTGCAGCAACATTATTTATGGTTCAATTAGATCTCTTTAGTTTAATTAAAATATCTATATTTATTAATTTTGCGATAATTTAAAGAACAAACATAAGGTGCTTCTTTAGTATGTCATAAAGAAGCCATTTAAATATATAAATAACATAGTACTTTTATATGACACCTGTTTTATAATACCTGTTTCATATCTAAAGTATTTTAGAATCATTTAATATATAATTCTGTATTTATTTTAAACTCTGTATAAAAACACATTCACAACAATCTTGAAAAATAGTACTGAGGTTAACATTTTTATGTATTTTTTTAAATTTTAAAATTTGTTCTTTTAGAAATATAGCCTTGACCAGGTAGATGCTACTTTTGAGTTTGTCTTTTTCTATTAAAATGAGGCTTTAACCTCTCAGTAACTTCTAATTCACTGATTTAATATGTATTTTCTTTGCAGTATGAGATTTCCTGTAACTTCAGTTTGTCCAGATGTTGCTTATTTATCTAATTCTGGAACAGATGATTCTGAAAAGCCTTCTGCTACTTTTGATCTTGCATCTAGGAAAAGAGTTCTTGGCAGGCTTGAAGAAAGTGACTATGTTCCTCCTGCCAAAAAATGTTCTTTAACTTCAGGAGATGATGGTCACAAATATACCTCTGAGGTAAGATTTATATCAGTTTTCTTCTTTAGATGCTTTTAAATATATAAAAATAATACATTATTTTTCAACAAATAACCCAGGTAAAACCACTTTTTGATTGTTGTAAAAAGAATAAGGATGGCATAAGGATGACCATATTTGACCTTTACCAACTTCACAAAGGGGAACGGTCCCTGTTAACAACATCAACAACCACTTCCCATGAGGTCAGACATGTTAATTCACACTCTCTCACCTCTTTCCACTCATCTCAACACTTGACTCAATCTTAGTGCTTTAGTGGGTCCATAATCCAGTGGGATAGCTCACAAACCACACAGAACCATATTGTTGTTGTTGTTGTTATGTGCCGTCGAGTCGCCTGCGACTCATAGCGACCCTATGTCAAATGGCTAAATATGATATTAGTAGCAAAATGCAGTCACTCAGTTAGGACAGCTCCCAAAACATGCTCACATACTCACAGGTGTATCAACCATGAGCCTTGTGACTTTAGACCAGTGTTACGGAGCTCTCAGTCCTGCCAGTTATGGCTCTTTCTGCACCACCTGTCCAGCAAACTCAGACAAAGGCTCTTAGTTCAGGTTTTATGGGTAGCAGTTCCAAAGTCTGCTCTGTCACACATCAGGTCTCTAGTTCTCTGCTGTAGCTGCTGTGGTTGCTATTCCCATAGGCTCTGGTCTGACTACTACAAATATCTGGTCCCAAACGATGCATTGCATTCTCTTGCTGCTGCTTTGCTGGTGGTGAGGTTCTCAAATGCTGCTGCTGGATCCGCTCAGTTTATTGGTGAGACTAGTCAATCCCCTTGTGAATTGATGAGACTAATCATCTTATTGTAGATAGGTTAACCCATCCACATAGCAAAGTTATTTAATGGCTAGGGAAGCGATATTTGAACAATAAACCCTTAATACCACAAAACTTTGAAAAAGTTCAAGGTGAGAATTGATGGGCCCACTGCTAGTTCTCTGGCAAAGACTAAAAATCATACAGATTTAGTGCTTAGCTATACTAATAAATAGTTGTGCCACTCTTTACCTATTCCTTCACGTCTCTGAACAGTAGTTTCCCAGTTACTCTGATAATACCAGTTTTGCCTGCCTTCTCTAAGCTTACCAATGATTTGATTTTGTCCTTTGCGGTCTTCTGTCATATCCATGCTAGTCTGATTAAACTTTCTAGCCACATTGGCCATTTCTCAGTTCCTAAATATCATACCCCTTCATGTCTCAGACTTTTCATTTGCTGTCTGTTTTGTACAAATACTCCTTTGAAAACACATGGACTACTTTAGCTTAATCCCTACTGTCTATGAAAGCCTGACTACTAAGTTAAAGGTTTTATAGCAAGTTTTTGTTTCCAGTATTATCTTAGGCTAGGTTATCTAGAGAGACAAACCCAATGTGAGGCTATATATAACACACACATACATAGATGGAAACATAGATTCATACATATAGAATGGTTTAGTGGTAAGGAATTGTGTTGTCAACCCAAAGGAAGACAGATCAAATCCACCAGGTTCTCTACAGAAATAGAGGACCAGTCTCCTCCTGTATGATTTACTGCCTCTTAAACTCATTGGAAGGTCAGCAGTGTGTTGGTTCCAACTTAATGGTATATAACAATAAGAGCTGTATAGGTACACACACACACACATATATATATATATATATATATATATATATATATATATATATATATATATATGTGTGTGTGTGTGTGTATATATATATATATATATATATTTAAAAAACACCTCAAACTTATCTGTTAAATCAGAACCAACTCATAACTGGCTTTCTAGCAGATTTTTGGATGCTATAAATTGGACAGGAGGAGATTGCCCGTTTTTCTCCCATGAAGCCTCTAGTGCATATGAACCATCTGTGGATTAACACGACAGGGCCTGTAACAGCAGAGCTCCCATATCGACTGTTGTTAGTATCTGACAAGTTGAGTATAACTCGTGATGCCCTTATGAACAACAGAATTGAACCCTGTCTCATTGTCTGCCATCTCCATAATTTCTGATGTGCTGGAGTCCATCACTATAGTCACTGCTCTTTCTCACTGGAGGTGTTTATCTCTTTCTCTGGCCCTCCACATTTCCAAGGAATAGTCTCTCCTCGCAGCATGTCTAAAGTATGAGATGACACTTCGCCATCTTTGCCTCCAAGGAACATTCTGGCTGCATTTTTCCCCAAGACTGTTCTTTTGGCAGTACATGGAATAGTCCATCTTCTCCAACACCACCGCTCAAAGGCATCAGTTCTTTCTTTCTTCTTCACTGTCCAGCTCCCAGATATGTAGCAAGTGATAGAAAAAAACATGTCCTGAATCAGGTGCACTTCAGTCGTCAGACTGACATCATTGCTGTTCAGTATTTTTTGAGAAATCCCTGACAGCTGACTTTCCTAATGCTAAATGTGTCCTGATCTCCTGCCTCCAGATACCAAGGGTATTGATTATTGATCTGAGTGAGATGAAATAATTGATAACTTCATTCCTTTCTCCATCTTTCATGATGTTGCCTTTTGGCTCAGTGGCGAGGATCTTTGTATTCTTGATGTTGAAATGTAATCCATGTTGAAGGTTGTAGTTCTTGATCTTGTGCAGCAAGCCTTACTTTGACTAAGCAGGCCTGTGCCATGTACATAATACAGGTTGCTGGCTGAGTCTTCCTCTGATCCTGATAAAAATTCCTCTTAGAGTTCAGCTTTACCAATTATTTGTTCAGCGTACAGATTGAATAGTTATAGAAGAAATGATACATCTGGAACACGACCTTCCTGATTTTAAACTATGCTGTGTTCCCTTACTCTGTTTCGACAACTTCTTCATCTAGGTATAGATTTTGTATGAAGACAATTAAGTTTCTTAAGAATGGGATTCCCGTTCTTCTCAGTGTTAGCCATAATTTGTTATGATCCATGCAGTCAAATGTCTTTGCATAGTCAATAAAATACAGAAAGACATTCTTCTCTTATGCTTTGCATTCAGCCAAGGGCCATCTAAAATCAGCAATGATGTCCTTGGCTCCATGGCCTCTTCTAAATCCAGCTTGAACTTCTGGGAGTTCTTTCTTAGGGTACTAGCTAGCTGGTTTTGGATGATCTTCAGCAATGTTTTTCTCACTTATAATATTTTTTTTAATTAATTTCAATGAACATCTACAGAGATTTTGGATTTCTATTCTTTCATTGTTGTACTTTTCTCCCCGCCCACCCCACCCTCACCTCCAGTTCACTATTCTCCTTGGAAAGCAAAAGAAAAAACACCTTCATTGGTATACAGTCCCCCCTCACCCCTCTACTCCTACTCCGAGTATACGCCACTCTGCGACCCTCATTCCGAGCTCTTATGATAGAATACCCTAAAATATATTACTTTTAAACTGTTCTCTCCCTCATCGGCTTCAATGCAGTATACATAATTTATCTAGTTTTTCTCAGTCTTACCCCCACCTTGATGTCAGTCTCATTCTACAACAGTGGCACCAAACAGTATTTGTCTTTTTGTGACTGAGATATTTCACTCAGCATAATGTCCTCCAGGGCCGCCCATTTTGAATAATATTGCATGAGTTTTTTGTTTTTCAATGCAGCGTAGTATTCTATGGTGTGAATATACCAGAGCTTCTCTATCCATTCGTTTGTTGATGGGCACTTAGGTTGTTTCCGACTCCTTGCTATTGTGAACAAAGCTGCGATAAACATGGGTGTTGCATATTCTGCTTGAATGTCAGTTATTTTCTTTTAGTATTAATGATATTGTTCAATAATTTCCACATTTTATTGGATCACCTTTCATGGAGATGGGAACAAATATGGATCTCTTGGGATACTGGTCACCTGATGGTAATGAATTGTGCTGCCAACCCAAAGTTGAATCCACCGGCCACCCTACACAGGAGAAGGATGGCCATTTCCTCCCACACATTTCACTCCCTCTGGACACTTCCTGTAGAGTCAACTATGGCTCAGTTCCAACTCATTACTCAACAACATAAGGACTATGTTTGTTGTTGTTGTTGTTATGTGCCGTCGAGTTGTTTGCGACTCATAGCAACCCTATGTACAACAGCCCTAAACCCTGCTCTATCCTGTGCCAATCGCATTGCCTCTGACACACCCATCCCGATTACCCCAGTC